ATAAGAGTCTCATGCACTTTCCTGCCAGGCTGGCTTTGAACTCGGATCCTCAGATCTCAGCCTCCTGAGTAGCTAGGATTACAGGAGAAAGCCACTTGCACCTAGCTTTGAACCAGATATTCTGTGCTGCTTTTTGCTTCCTTCCTGCAGCCTCCTTTCTTGGCTGCTTTTCCCAATTCAGTTCTTTGCCTTCTTCCTCTTTATTGCTTTATTCCCACATTTTACTAGGGCATATCTTCTACAAGCTGTCTAAGAAAAGGCACAGAGGATAGATATTTAGAGTTTTGGCCTTTCTGAAAATAAGTCCTTTGTATTTTCACATGTAATAAGTAGTGTAGGTAGATACAGAATTTTAAGTTTTGAAGCATTTTCTGTCAACGTAATCCCACTGTGGGACAACGTAATCCCACTGTGGCCCAGCGTCCAGTACGTGTACAGAGAGGGATTCAAGGGTAAACTTGGGTGCTTCTTGACATGCAACCTGAAAGTTTCCTTCTGGAAGCTTCTAGAGTTTTCTCCTAATCTCGGCTAGCCTGAAACTTTACAATGATGCACTCTAATAAGATCCTTTTGGTTGATGTATTGAGCATTTGAAGGGGTCATTATATCTGAAGTCTCATATCCTTATAATCTGAGAAATCTCTAACATTATTATTGTATTTTAAAAAAATTTTTTTGGTGATACAGGGAATGGAACTCAGGGTCTTGTGCTTGCTAAGCAAGTGTTCTAGCACTTACGCTTCCAGTACATTTTTTTTTTCTTTTGTTATCTTTAGGATGAGAGCTCATGGTTTTTCTCTGCCTTCCTCTATGTCTCTCACATAGCTGGAATTACAGACCTGTGCCCAGCTTATTTATTGAACGAGTATCTCACTAACTTTTTGCCTGGCTGGCTTCCCAATCTCTGCTTCCTAAATAGCTGGGATTACAGGCATGAGCCACCATGCCTGGCTTCTAACATTATTTCTCTGATAAGTTCATCCTCTTAATTATATTATGTACTTGGAAAACATACAAGAAAGAATATCTCTGTAATCTCTGCATAGAATTTCTGTTTATCAGATAATGGACCTCGTACAGTGACCCCATTTATCCCTCTTTCTTACCTTTCTTCTCTCTAACTTTTTGAGAATTTTTCTCACTCCTGCTAGCATTTTATTGGCTTAAATTTCTGCTGTATTTTTATGGTCGGTTGTGGGGCTTGAACTCTGGGCCTGGGCACTGTCCCTGAGCTCTTCAGCTCAAGACAAGTGCTCTACCACTTGAGCCACAGCCCTACATCCCATTTTCTGGTGGTTAATTGGAGATAAGAGCCTCACAGGATTTCCTGCTTGGACTGGTTGAACTGTGATCCTCAGATCTCAGCCTCCTAAGAAGCTAGGATTATAGGTGTGAGCCATTGATGCTGGGCTTTTCCAGCCTCTGTGTGTGTGTGTGTGTGTGTGTGTGTGTGTGTGTGTGTGTGTACATGTACATGTATATATGTATACATAAATGTGCATGCACCATTACTGGGGCTTGAACTCAGGGCAAGGGTGCTGTCCTTGAGCTTTTCTGCTCAGTCCTTAGATCTCAGCCTCTCAAGTAACTAGGATTACAGGACTGAGCCACCAGCTCCTGGTCCAGCCTTATTTTTAATTACCAAGAGCTCTTTATTGTTTTTTAACTGGCTTTCTTGAGAAAAGCCTACTATTACCTATAGTTTATAGACTCTTAATTATCAGGCTGAGGGAGGAGCCATCTGTCTGTTTCATTGTTGCTTTTAGAAATGTTGGACTTGTGGGAAGGTGGCTCAGTGGTAGAGCACTTGCCTTGCATGCCTGAGGCCCTGGGTTCGATTCCTCAGCACCACATAAGCAAAAAGAAAAAAAGCTGGA